AAAGAACCTCACTGCTGTCAATTTGACTCATAGCAACCCCTCCTTGAGTTTCCAAGGAGGTATCTCTACAGAAGTAGATTGCCCAATCTTCCTTCCAAGGTGGAGTGGCCAGTGGGTTTGAACCACCAGCCTTCTAGTTAGCAGTCAAATGCCTTAGACACTATGCCATCAGAGCTCCCTAATGAAGCACCCAACATGTTAGTACAATATTAAAACACAATTATGTCCATATGTGCTTCAAAAGGCTTCTCCAAAAGAGTAAAAAGAGAACATACAGATTGGGAAAAAATATTCAGCAATGACATATCTGACAAGAGACATCTCTAAAATTTATAGAAAACTCCAACACCTCAACAACAAAAAGACAAAAATCCAATTGAAAAATGGGCAGAAGACATGTACAGACACTTCACCAAAGTGAATATTCAGGCAGCCAACAAACACATGAAGAAATGTTCTCAATCATTAGCCATTAGAGAAATGCAAATCAATCAAAACAACAGTGAGATGCCAACATGCCATCTTACCCCAGCACTAATAGCATAGTTCAACAAAACAGAAAATAACAAATGCTGGCAAGGATGTGGAGAGGTCGGGACTCTTATACACTGCTGGTGGGACTGTCAAATGATACAACCACTGTGGAAAGCAGTATGATGATTCTTTAAAAAGTTTGAATTAGAAATACCATTTGACCCAGCCATTCCATTACTGTGTATATATCCTAAAGAAGTGAGACCAGGACAAGAACAGATATATGCACACTCATTTTCATAACAGCACTATTTACTAGATGGAAACAACCTACATGCCCATCAATAGAAGAATGGATAACCAAATTATGGTACATACACACAATGGAATACTGTGCAACTCTAAAGAATAATGTAGAATCTGCAAAACACCGCATAACATGGATGAACCTGGAGGACATTATGCTGAGTGAAATAAGTCAATCACAGAAGGACAAATATTGTATTAGTCTTTTACTGTAATAACTCAAGGAAAGGTTTATATATGGAATGAAACTTTCTTTGTTGGTTACCAGGGATGGGAAGGGAGGGGAGGGAACACTTAGGTAGAGATAAATATTTATCTGGGTGAAGAGAAGGGCAATGTCCCAAATGTGAGTGATCAACACAGTGGCATTGAGGAAGATAAGACGTAGAGAGGTACATGGAAGATACAGACAACAAAGATGAACTCTTTTGCATGTACACTACGGTGTTGTCAGTGATAGCAAACATTGATCTACAGATGGATAGATAAGTGGACAGGCTGAACGATCAGGTATGTCTATGAGGGGGGTAGTGTGCCTGACCATGCATAGGGTTGGCAGACTATGTTTCTATAAGCATTATTTGTTTGTTCTGTAAGAATGTCCAGGTATGTAGTAGAGCTGACATGGGACAAAGTTATGGTGATTTCTTGACCATAGCCAGCTACTCAGAGGGAGGGAGTAGTTGGACCTGTGGGATCAGGGCCATGGTTCCAAGGGACATCAAGTCCAATTGGCATAACATACTACACAAAATCATTGTTCCACATCCTACTTTGCTAAGTAGCAGCTGGGATCTTAAAAGCTTACAAGTGGCCATCTAGATGTAATGATGGGTCTCTCCTTGTTCAGAGCAAAGAAGAATGAAGAAAACCAAAGAGTCATGGAAACAATTATTCTAAGGGACTGGTAGACCACGCGATCTTCAGCCATTATGACATGAGACCAGAAGAACTAGATGGTGCCCAGCTACCACTTTCAACCACTTGGAGGGTAATCTGTGTAGGAGATCCTGGGGAGAGTGGGAAAATGATGTGGAACAAAACTCAGGAAAAAAAAAAAAAAGACCAGGTTTGCTGGTCTGATAGAGCCTGCTGAAACCCCTGAGCCTTTAACTCCTAGCCTCCTTTCAGGGCTGTAATTGTACTCACTCCTGTGGCTTCCAACCAAGTAAAAGACCAGCATATGGCTGACCATTTACATTAAGTAGATAAACTCCTAGTAGGGATCAGTTATGGGAGAACAGAAGAACAGTGTATACACAGGAAGACCACCTGGGGGCAGGAGTGCATGGGAGGGAAGGATACAGGGAAGAGGTAACTATGGGGAGGAAGTGGGAAGAAAGTTGTTATATTGTGGGAAATAGCAGTCAATGTCATGACACAAAATGTGTACGAATTGCTGTATGGAAAATGAATTTACTCTGTAAACTTTCACCCAAATCACAGTAAAAATTAAAAAGAAAACAACACAATTATGTTCATATGCATATTAAACCATAAAAATGTAAGGAAATTTGGTAATTACCTGTTTCATATTTAACAGGTAATTAAAACAAAATGTTTATTGTATCTCAATATTAGAGTAACATGTACTAATTAAAGAACATTTGAAAACTTTAGAAAAGTGGGAGAAAAAAAATTATCTATGCACAATTGCCTCTGAAGTCTTTTTAAAATTATTATTTTTATGGATTTTTAGAATCTTTTAATCATTCACCACAAGTCTGTTAGTTTGTCATGCTTGGTGGCTTGTATCTTGCTTTAATGCTGGAAGGTATGACAGTGGTATTTCAAGAACAACAGGCTTGCCTGCATTGAATAGGTTTTAGCAGAGCTTCCAGACTAAGAGAGACTAAGGAAGAAGGATTTCGTGATCTATTTCATAAAACAATTCACTAGTTAAGCCGTTTTTAATAGCCCCAGAAGACTGTCTGATACAGTACCAGAAGATGAGCCCCTCAGGTTGGAAAACACTCAAAATATGCCTAGGGAAGAGCTGCTTCCTCAAAGTAGGGTCAACCTTAGTGACATGGATGGGTAAGGCTTTAAAGACATTCATTTGCTGATAGGGTACAATTCAAAATAAGAAGAAACAACTGCAAGCATCCATTAAAAAGAGGAATGTGGAATGTATGAAGTACGAAATAGGAAAATTAGAATTCATCAAAAATGAAATAGAATGCATAATGATCAATATCCTAGGCATTACTGAGTTGAAATGGACTCGTATTGGCCATTTTCAATTTGACAATCATATTGTCTTCTACTCCAGGAATGACAAATTTAAGAGGTATGGTATTGCATCCATTGTCAAAAACAATATTTGCAATCGTCCACAAAGATATTGCAGTACATTCTACTTTGGTGAGTGGTGACTAGGGTCTTAAAAGCTTATGAGCATCCATCTATGGTGCAACTATTGGTCTCTCCTCACCTCTGGAGCAAAGAAGAGTGAAGTAAATCAAGGACATGGAAAAAAATAGTTCAAGAG